GTCTGGAGGAAGAGCTTCTTTCAAGCTTTCTCATCCTGTCTGGCTACGTGTTGAATGTGAAAACTTTAAACAAATAGAGGTTTAGGTAAAGTCTTCATGTGAAATAAGAGAAGAATTTCAAAATCCTCTGAAGTTCATCTTCATCCTAGAGATCTTTGCTAATCAGTACTGGGGATTTTTTGGTTTTTTTTTTGTTGTTGTTGTTTCCCACTGGGAGTATATTCTGCTGGAACAAGCCTTCCAATCTGTTTTGTGGTGGTGTGTCCATCATGTTGGAGACAGATTGCTGTTTAAATCACGCAACTGGTTTTCACGGAAGATTTTGGGGTTGTTTCCCTTTGCTCCCAAGCATTCATACCACAGCTTTGCTTTTTCTGGCTGCAAACTACAGAGCCAAGAGCCTCTGTAGCTCATGAGAGCAGCTAAATTTATTAGCAAAATGTCTCATGCTGGGCTGAGGCCAAATCCCAGCTCCCTGCCTTCCTGTGCTTAATGGACCGACTGTGCTGACCCAAATTCATGGCCACATTATTGCTATTTATTTTAACAGCTTAGCTGGGCTGGGGGAGACTTGGGAATCTTTGGTCCCACCTTCTGCCCAAGGCAGCCCTGGGGTTGGATGAGGTTGCTCGGGGCTTTTTCCAACCTGGTCTTGAACACCTACAAGGATGGAGCTGGGATCACCAGCCAAAGCTGGGCTGCCCCAAAACTTTCTCCCACTGTTTATATGTTACACTGCATGTGCTGGGTCTATCAGCTGCTCTGTTCCTCCAGGTTTGAATGTGAATCCATGCTAAACCCCCCCCTTTGGTTATCCCCCCCATGGGATCAGGGATAGGGGATGTGTGTCCCTTCTTGGCATAAAGTTGGGGCTGAAATGTTGCTGGGCTTGGATGCACGAGGCCCCTGGTCCCACCCCACTCCTGGACAAGCACACAGCTCACTCCTTCAGTATCTTTTATTAATGTATAGAAAATGCATTAAAAAAAGGAACTATACATAGCCTAAGAGCGGTCAGGACTAAAAATACTAGTTAACAATGGTTAACAAGCGTTGATCCCATTCTCCAAGCTACATTTTCATTACAGGGTGGGGAAGGTTGTTTAATATATTATTATTTATTTATATTATAGATTTTATTTATGCATTTATTTACTTTTCTTTTCCCCCTCATTTGGTTCCAGTGGTTTGAGTTCATCAGAATCTGAGGCATTTTGTTGCCTCTGCTCTCCCTTCTTATTTATGTTTTTAAACTTTTTTTAGCATATTAAGAACATTTCCAGGATAACACCTGTACACAGGGGGCTGTTTGTTTGTTTGTTTGTTTAGGTCTTTCTGTCGCCATCCTTCTGAGAAGCCACTGACATCTGAAGAACTGCAGGCTGGGTATTGAGGCAGGTCTAGGCATCAGGATCTCCCAAGGGAAGGGCCTTTCCCTCCCACTTACCCCAAATTTCCCTTCTGGAAGGGGCAAGGAGCTGCCACCACCATCAGGGTTTTAGGAAAGGGGAAGGTGACCCTGGAGGTGCTGGTGGTCCCCAGGGGACTCTGTTGGGTTTTATGGCCATCCCAGGGTGCTTGGCTGGCAGAAACAGGGATGGACTTCTTGTTTGGCCCCAGAACAGAACCCTTTGTTAGTGGGTGTAAGCATGAATTAAAGGGTTTTTTGGGGTGAGAGTTCATTGCTGGCAGTGTTTGGTAAAGTCAAAACTTGTGGGCATGTCTGGGGGGGCACAGGACAAGGGGTGTGTGGTCACCCCCAGATGTGATGGTGGGGGCACAGCAGGAGGGCAGCTCTGAGCTGGGATGGAGGTCATGAGCTGGGATGGAGGTGAGGCACCAGGAGGGTACTTTGGCTCCTGCTGTGCTTTGTCAGGTTGCTCTGAGCCTGTTTGGGGCATGGGGACACCATGGGCTGGGCCCTCACCAGTGCATCTCTGGGAGTGAGGGTGGCATGAGCCGTGCCTTCCACACCCAGGAAATTCACCTGGGGTAAGCATCCCTCTGGGAAGGAGGCAAGAGTGCATTTAGGCTGGTACTCAGCTTTGAGATGCCCTTGTGGCCTGGTTTAGGGCAAATTTGGGAGAGTAAAGTAATGCAAAGATAAGGAGTAGAAGCAGACTTCTCCCCAACCTTTGTGTGGATACTCTCCCTGGTACCTTCCTACCAAAACCCAGTTACCCTTGGGGAGAGCCTGGCCTCTCTCCTTCTTGAAATTATTAATTTATAGATGCTATCACTTTACTAAAAGCAGCTTTTCCTTTCAGGACTCTTTTTCTCTTTGGTTATGTTTCAGTGCAGTGTGAAGGAGAAGGTGGGCTTGGAGAATGGAAACAGAGGGAAATGAATATTGAGCAAGAGATGAAAGTCCCTTTGTGTTTCCCTCTAGGATTTTGGGGTTAGAAATAAGAGATGGCTTTGAAAGGCTGCAAGGGTCATGGGCACACATGGTGTTCTGCTGTGTGAAGGATTTGATGTGCTGCTTCCTGTTACACAGAATGGCATCTCACAGCGGACAGTGTGGTTTGGGTAACAGCCTCATGCTCCTTGTTGGGCTCTGGAACAAGCCTGAGCCACATAAACCCAGGGTGGCAGTGGGGCCACCAGAGCTCAGTGGAAGTTCACATGCTGAAGCTAAGTCTCTCAAGGTGAGCACTGCACCAGATCCAGGCTTGGTTTCTGGGAATTTCAGGGCCAAACCTGGTCTAGCTGGAGAATGAACTAGCTCATCCAGTGATGGAGGGTGAGAAGAAACTTCTTAATTATGGGGCCTTCTGGAGCATCAACATTAAGCACAAATTTGCTGGCAGGAGCTTTGTCAAAAAAAAAAAAATAAGGCAATACAGAAAAATAACTTTCTGGGAAATTGTATCTTGTTTAGGGTCAATGTGAACAGGAGACAATGGCACAAATGACTGGGTCATCATTGCTGGTTGTGTGCCTGGGCTTGGGTTGGGTTATCACCAGGAGAAAACCATGATGTGTAGAAATCTTTCCTTTAAGAGACTGTAGCAACTGTCTTTCACCAATGCCATGGAAAGGCAACATGCTGGTATCACATGAGAGGTCAGGGACCAGCACTGATGTATAATAGCACTGGAAGATTGGATATTGTCCAATTTCATACCTGACTATGCAGCTGGGTCAAGTGGGCTGACTCATCCTGGTTACAGGACTTGTACAAAGGATGAAAGACATGAGGAGGGAGGGAGAGATATATGTCAGTAAACCTGTTGAGAGAATAATCAGCCTTTTTGAGGATATTCTTTTGAACCTCCTAGAAAAGCTTGGCAAACTTTGATTTTTTTTTTTCAAACTTTCTATTTGAGTCTTTCTTTTGAAAAGAGAGGTTTCTTGCCTTTCACTTGACTGTGAATGATAAATGTTTGCATGACATCTCTTCCTTTCTCCTGGGTAGGTAAGAAAACAGCACCATCCACTGCCAGTTTCTGCTGGTTGTAACCACTGCTCCATTACAGCTTTTGTTGGGATATTTCTTCCTACAAATTCTTGATGGTTTGGAGAAAAATTTACTCTGCTGGTCTATTGAAAGCCTTCTTAGGCTTTAATCAGTTCCATCTGCTGCTTTTTGTTGGCGTTTGGGTCTTAAAGCAGGGGTGGGTGCTCAGGAGGCGTGACATGCCACCATCTGTGACAGCAGCCGTGTCCTGCAAGAGATCCCATCACCTGCAGCCTCTGACTCACCTGTTCCAAAACTGGTTGACTTGTTGCCTGATTTGATGCCAAGGGGAAGTAAGAAGGGATGCCTCATTTACATATGAGATGTTGCTGAGCATCCTTTCTCCAGGTCAGCTTGCAAGCTGAAGGAATGGGCCGTGTATCTGATCTTGACCTCAGTGTTAGCTGTGATTTCATGTGCCGGTATGTGCCATGGAGAAGGAGGTTATGTTTCCCATTTAATGCTCTTCTTCAGCTCTGCAGCCATCACCAAAAACGTCAGAACATTAAGGAGTGTGACCACGAAAGATACACTGGCCTGAATTATAAGCTGCTGCAAAGATGCCTTTATGTTGCCATCTGAAAGATATTTTTGAGACAAAGCAGCTTCAGTGTGATAAAGCCAGATTAGCAGTGTTTAGCATTTGTAATGTTCCTTTGGCTGCAAATCCAGTGATGAGCTGCATTGTCCTTGGATGCACGAGTCCTTTCTTGGAGACCAGGCCAGTGACAATGCCCAGCATTGATTGGAGTCCTTGGAGAGGAGTGACAAGCATGGTGGTCATTTGGGCTCTGTGGAGGTGGGGACAATGACAACAGGGCACAGACAGAGATATCCAAAGGGTCCATCTTCCTTGAGTTAAGGATGGGAAGAGTGAACTTATTAATTCTTCCAAGGGCCTTTGAGGTGCTCCAAAATCCAAATGGAATCCCTTCCAGGAGGGGAAACAGTTGATTTCCTGTTAGAGAGCTGGCAATTCCAAGGCACTGAGATTTGTGTCCCTCTTGTGATGGCATTGTAGAGGGATAGTGTAGGAGAAGGAAGGAAATGGGCATTCCTCAGCTTGCACTTGTCTTCCCTTAGCTGCATTGGCATAATTCCCTGTGTGCATGGAGGGCCATCAACAGGAGCACCTGAGCTGTGACAGCTGCTGGCTTCAGGTTGGGCTGCAGTTCTGTGATATCTTCTTATTGCTGCTCCTCCTCTGAGACTCTTGTTTGGGACCAGTGACCTCAGTGAGAGAGAGCATGATGGAATGTAGAAATAACAGAGGAAAGGGGTCCTAGATTTCAGGACCACAAGTAGGGATTCTTCTCCCAAGTCGTCTAATTTAAGTCCTTTCTTCTCCATCAAGTTCAGCATAACCCAGGCAGATGTCATGGACCTGGAGTGGGCTGAGTTTAGCTTGGAGGAGTGGATAATGAAGGTTGGGGCTGGTGGAGTAGTTCTTATTCCCATACACCTCATGCACACGAGGATGACTGTGGTGGGACCAACACATGGACTCTCTGCAGTTTGCCTACGTATGCAGATATTTGCCGAGCTCTCCTGTGAAAACTGGGGATGGGAGGAGCATTTGCTCATCCTCACTTGATCCCCAGGTGTCCAGAGCCTGCACATAGGGGAGAGATGGGCCTCTGCCTGCTGGAAGAGTTGGTGTCTACAGGATGGCATGAAGGTTGGGGCCTCTCTGCCAGGAGGGGACAGGGAGGCAGGGAGAGGACGGGCATCCCTGGCCATTGCTGGGCTGGAAACGGCCACACCAAGGTATCTGTGGGGAATGTTTCTGCCACAAGCCTTGTGACAAACATTTCTAACAGGGTTTGCTGGGGATTTCTATGTCTTTTAAAAAAATATCAAAAAATCTGTCTCTTTCTCTTTCTTCTCATGTTAAGGGCCAGAGTATTGGGATAGGGAGACTGGAAATTTGGTATTTCTCTGGGACAGATGCAAAGCAATGAGGTCTTTCCTTTCCCATGGCCTTTCCTTGTGCCATGGTTCCCTCCAGCACTTGTGAGGGGCAGCTTGCTATCTCAGACGAGTAGTAAATTTTTTTTTCCCTTTTCATATTATAAAATACAAACAAATGACAGAAAAGGTCAGGTGGTGGGAGGCAGGAGGGGTTCAGCTGGCTCAGAGCTGTAGGGACCGTCTCTTCCTCCCAGAGATGTTACGGTGGTTGTAAGGTCGCATCTTCATTTCCACAAAGGGGATGGAGAACTCGTGGCCTTTCCAATGGTACCAGTTAATCCCCTGCCAGGAGGGAGAGAAAGGCAGAGGGTAAGGAAAGACCCTAACAAGAAACTAGGGTGGGAGAGGAAGGAAAAAAATTTGATTTGTGTAGAGAAGATAAAAAGAAAAAACTTGCTACTGCAGGAGCAAGCAGCTCCCCTGCTTCTATGGCTTGATTGTTTTTTTTCTCCACTGCTCAAAGGCTGGTCAAATTTCATGTAGGTAATTTTTTTAGTCTAACACACTACAGCAGATGACTATGGCAGTGTGTGTGAGGCACAAAGCCTAGCTGGCTTGAAGGTGGCTCCCTTTGGTGGGGTCATGCCACCAGTTCTGACCATGGTGCACCAATCACAGCACCCCAGCCCTAACCTAGGCTTGCTGGCATGTTCCCCTGGAAGAGATTCCAGAGGCTTTGAAGGCCTTACCTGACTGTGCCGGGACTCTCCGTACTTGCCGTTGAGGTTGGTGCGGTGGCAGTTCTTGTACCACCAGGCCCCTTTGTAGGACATGGCACAGTTGGTCACAGCAACATCGTTGTCCCTGTCCTTGGTGGAGAAGGGGCGCCCCTGGTGATAGGTGAGGGAGTCTCCTGTGGAAAGAGGTGCTCTTAGAGGTGATGGAGTCTGTTATCTGGTCATTTCACAAGGAAATTGGGATATTCTGGGTTTGTGGTAACCGTTTCAATCAATGGCTCAAACAGCTGACAGTCTGGGGATAGCTGGAATTAACTGGATAACTGAATGTTAACTGGAATTGTTCACAACTGGCTCATCTGAGGTCCTCTGCTGTCTGTTTAGGATCAGTGCAGACCATAGCAAATCTTAGAGACTTCTTGGCTTTGTCAGATAAAGTGCTTGGGTGTGTGTTTGGATCTGAATTTCAGTGTTTCAGAAATTAATTCAATCCCAGATTTTGGCATCCCTGATTTCCCTAGGCTTGGCTCTACTGTATAACTTCAGGATGCTTTCAGCCTCCTTCTTTCCTGTTAGCCAAAGGGAGCTTTTTCTCTCAACAGAGACCAAATATTCATCTCTTGAACCAAGATGCTTGGCCACCTTTTCTCTCTTTGGATAATGGAAAGAAGTTTTTTGGAATGTGTGTGATGTCTTATTCCACCAAAACCTCTAACTTCATCCTCACTGGATAACTAGACAGCTGCTTTTGTGTGAAAAAAAAAGCTGGAGTAAAATATGGTGAATTGAGTGATGTACTTACAGGAGACATTCTAAATATGCTCCTTGGTAATCCCTAAGGACATATGAAGTGGATCCATGCTGGCTGTTTGCAATCCAGCCATGGAGAGACTGTTGCTGCCATCCTTGGCAGTAGAGTGGGTGCTTTGTGCCCTGGGATTTGAGGTTAGAGCAAGTGCTTTGTTGCACACCATCAAGATTCCTGTCACTTCTCTTCCAGTGGCAACTAACTGGTACTGAAGAAGGAAATTCCTGCATCTTGGGTATGTTGTGGGGTTTCACCTAGTACATGGTGGAAGTTCCATCATGAGGGCTTGCACTGGGCATGTCTATCCCAGATGAAGGGGCTAGAGTTGTACCCCTTCTCCCTTCTTGAAGAAGAGATCTCCTGTGCCCTCCCTCCAGCGCCCACTCTCTTCTGGTGGGCAACTCTAACTCCTCTGAATCAACCAAGCAAGCAGGTGTGACAGTGTCCTTGCAAAACTGGGCAGTGTTTGGCCTTTATGTGAGGAAATGACTCAGAGGGTTTCAGATTTTTCCATAGCTGTGGAAAGGCAATAAATACAGCCTCCAGCACGACATCAATAGCCAGCTGTGGCTACTGCCAAGTGAGATGACACCTCTGATGGTTGACCTGGTTATTTGAATAGCAATGCCTCTGATATTAAATATCTAATCCCCAATGGAAAATTCAGTGTCCTTACTGGGATTTATCAGCCTGGTTTACACTATGGACTGCAGGAAGGCAGAAAGGACTATGGGTGTTTGTCTCACCGCTCTAGACAAGTGAGATTTCATGTTGGGATTTCCTTTATAGTCTTGGACCAACCAGTCACAGGATTTCCTAAGATCCTTGCTAGCAAGGAGGCTGCAAGGATTTCCCAAGACCCTTGCTAGCAAGGAGGCTGTACCTGAAGTGCCATTGTAGTCCCCAATGCGCAGTTTGTAGAGGCTCCTGGAGTCACCAATGGAGAATTTGTCATAGTAGGCATATGCTGCCTCCTGGCCATCCCTCATGTCTATCCGCAGCTCGTAGCGCCCTTGGGACGTGATCTTGTGGATGTTGTCCAAGCCTGTCGAGACAGTGAAACACCCTGTGGGACCTGGTGCCCAGATCTGCTGCATGAACAAACAAGGAAAGCTCTAGGCAAATAAAACAGTAGTGGGAAATGAGAGCAAGGAGAGGAATCAAAGGGCAGCAGCACTTGTGGTGAGTTTGAGTTTCTCCTGGCACTGCTGGGGTCTGGATCTCTGTCCCCACTCGAGCTTCACTTCCCTGTGTCTGTGAGCAGTGGGTTCAAGGCCCAGCTTCAGATTTCTTCATGCTGCTGAAACTTGGAACATTCAGCTGTTGAGCTCTGGTGCTACTGTTGTTGTTAAGCTCCCATACAAGCCAGAGTGTGCTTATGCTGCAGGTCCCTTTGGCTCATGTTCAGGTTTTGGAGGAGCACACTCAATTTCAGAGCTGTGCTGTCTCCCACTCACTCCTTTCCTGCTTTCATTGGACTTCTGGCCACCAGTGCAACCTGTAGTCATGCAATGGACAATGATGGGTTTTGGTCCATGAAAACTGACAGCATACATACCCCCTCCTCTCCTAGAGAGAGCAAACTAGGGAGCTGCTAACCTTCACAATGTGCCTTTATGTGGTGTGCCTCTGCATGAGTTCCTAAAGTGAAGGGCAGGGAATGAACAGAAGGAAAACTGTCTGAGGGAGAACGTAGAGGAATGTGGTGAAAGGCAAAGAGCCAACAGCTGACACTGCTTATGGAACTTAAGTTTGACACATCAGTGAAAGGCAAACAGGGAAGGTCATACCCAGCCAAAACTCATCCTCCAAGTTTCCAAAGCCAACGCGGTAATCTGCCCATTTCCGGAAGAAATCGGTCAGCCCGTTCTGCCGCCGCTGGAAGACCTGATGTGGAGGGGGAGAGCAGGGGGAAAATCATAATAAGGGAGATGAGAAACAGCTTTGCCAGGCTTTGGACACACAAAGGTAAAGATAATAATTTTTCTTTCCATTGTGCCTTTCAGGGGAGAAAATTGCAATGCCTATCCAGTTAGTGTTAATTGCAGGCATGCAATTAATTCATGTGCAGGTGTAGAAACAAGAGATATTAGATAATGTCCAAAGCAAATCAATGGTAAAATAGGAAGGATTTGGCCTTTAAGGTTTCTGCTTTAACTAGTACATGGTGCCTCTGGTTTTCTAGCATGTAATTCTGCTTTGAGCTGGCTATTTCTGTGATATCCAAGGGGATGTTCTGAAGCAGAGTGAGAGGGAAATTTACTGGCTAGAAATCAGCATTTGAGGAAGCCCATTTTTTTTGGTTTTGACTATACATCTAGCAGGGTTTTGTGTAATGTGTGTAAGTAAGAGTTTGACACGAATAAGATCAGAGCACCATGGCATTATTTACTTACACTGTCAGTCCATCTACGTCAAGACAAGCAGTGTTTGTGCAGCTCAAAAGCCAAACAGGCATTTGTTTCTAAAGTTCTCCTGTGCAGACTCAATTGGGGTGACGCCTGACACCCTCCTTCTGCAGGCAGTGTGAATCATTCCCCGTGAAAGCTACCAGCCATTAATTTCATTTCTAGAACAATAAATCAGCTTCACTCACAGATTTTGCTCTCCAGAAGCACTGCAAACATGCCAAATAAATCAAAGGGCATTTCTCCAAGTGTAACTATTATTACCGGAGCGTGGGCCATTCCCTGCGGCGTGCGAAATGAAGCGTGTGATGCTGAGCCTGCTGTCATGCCCATGCTTTGCTGGTAGGGGCTCAGTTACTTTGTGGTGGGGACAACATGCCACATGGATACTCACAATCCAGCCCCCTCCATCAGTGGTCATGTCACAGTACACGGGCACCCGCTGGCTGAGGTCCCCATTGATGGAGATGGTGTAGACCCCGCTCAGCGTGTCTCCGTTCATCAGGTGCTGGGCACAGTCCTGAGGGTTAGCAAACACACGTCCTCCTGCAAAAGCAAAGTCAAAAAAAAAGGTAAAATTCAAGCAAAGAGACACCTTTTCCCCATGCTTCAGGCTCCACTAGTTACAGTCCAGGAAAAGTCTGTCTTGGCTCCTGCATTCCGAGTAATTCCATGAGGCAGTGAGACTTTATATCTGCTGTCGAGCTCAGAGGACTTACTGGAAAAAAATGTGTGCATATATTAATTATTCTTCCATATGTCTTATACTGGAAGGGTGCATGGTAATGTCACAATGAATGATGAGGGATGTCACTTCTTGGACTATCTTTCTGCACTGTGTCTGAAACCCTGGGGTTTAAGCTGTCACCAGCATATTTAGACAGCTGTGAAAATACCAAAAACCTGTTCTCCTCTCAGGACTGCCAGCTCTAATCAAGTTTTATAACAGTACTCATTCCAGGGGGATTCTCCTGATTCTCCATGAGCTTGGAAATGATGGTGGACTTATGCTGAGCTAATTGTCACTTGCAAGCTGAGCAGGAATGAGGCTGTGTGAGATGCTAGAGGTAGCTAGCATGGGCTGTGTGGCTGTGATACAGGTGTTCTCTAATGAGGAAACATCTTATTTTGTGGTCAGAGTTTAGGAGAGTCTTAATTATGACAGTTATTCTGGCAGTATTGGAATATCAGGTCTGGGAACATTTTTTTCTTATTTAAAACAAAAGAGGGAAATAAAATACATATTTTTCTTTGTTGTTGTTATGTATAGATGATGGAATAAATAGTGCAGAGCTGGCAATGTGGATAAGGTTTTCAAGGATGTCTCTGTAACAAACTGAGAAGGTGTGAGGGACCCTCAGATCTTTTGTGCTGTGTGTGTCCATCACAGTTGTGCAGTGTCCCATAGGACATAGGCACAACCCTTGTCTGTTGCTCCTCACTTGGGTGTATTCCCCCCCACCTTGTGACCTGAAGACTTGAAAGTCATTGCTGTGTCCAAATGTTGAAGATGCTCTCTTTTTTTCTCCCCATCTTCATGGTCTGTAGCACAGCCTGGTGAGACATTGTTTGTATTTTATAGTATCCAACAATGGAAACTTCTTCAACAGCAACCACTTTGGGCTCCCCTGTGGAGATTGCTTGTTTCTTAATTTATATTCATATCTTTAAGAGCCAAGGAGACCTTGAAAGACATTTCAAACCACTATAAATTATAAATACTGTATCTGTTTCTTCCTTCTGTCTCATCTGTATACAATTCCCCAAGAACCTTATGCAAACATGAAACAAAAGAGGCTGAGCTATTAATATGTCAGGGGGAATAGAAGAACCCCGGGATGTGTATGTAAGCAGAAGGAAGCAAAACAATTTAAATTAAGCCTGAGTGGCTTTCTTTACTTTTTTTTTTTTTTGTCATTAAAGACAAGTCCTTGTTCTCTGCAAAGTGCCTTGATGCATTGCCAGAGTAAACTGAGTTGCAGATCTGGATGCTTTGATGAGAGATGCTGTCCATGGATTGCATTGCCTTGGTGATAGCTCCTGGCTGCTTCTGTCTCATCAATATTGGGGTAAGTGGGGAGAAACTGACTTGTTGCTAATGCCCATCTTCATCTTCAAAGCAAGTTAAGTGTGTTGGATGCTGCATCAGCTGACAATGGGGACTGACGTTGCTGAGGTCTGACACTTCTGTTTGATGTAAAAGGTGCTCTCCTTGCCTGACATAAGTGGGTTTCTGCTGCTTTATCCCACCTGAGAAGTTGCCCCCATGCAGCTTCATCCCTGACTCCCAAGCAGCCTCAAAGATTACATGTCTTTTTCTATCACCTGCCTGAATTGTACTGGATTTATGCACATGTGTAAGAGGCAAGAACAAGAGGAAAGCATGTTTTGTAGCTGTATTAGAGAAGTCATTTCTTCTTTTGTTGATGTATATAGTTTCTGTTATCTCTTAAAAGCAGGTGAAGAGACCTTTGCATGTAACCAAGATGTAGAAGTGTATCCACAGCAGATTCAAAGAAAATTCTCCTAATTTGAGAATTAAACTGGCAGCACAGATGGGAGGAATTTTGATGGACATCATCTGGAGACTTCTCAGTGCTGTTGATGCCCAGGAAAAACATGATTGGATTCCTAGCTCTGAGCAAGATACATTCTGCCTGTAAGTACCCTGGCCTAGCCATGCTTTTCAAAGAGGATGAGGCACAATTTGCTTTGCATAACTTCTGTTATGAATGGTTGCAGAGGATGGGAGCACTGGTGACATTCTCTTGCAAGCTTCATTCTTGGTAGAGTAAGTATTCTGTCTCTGAGGGTCCTGGTGACTGTGGATGCCCAGTTTTTGATTTCAAAACAAAACCATTCCCATTACTTTAGTGCCTTAGTGGATTGTGAATGCTCCAGAATGAGAGCGAGGAGGAATAATGTAATTAGATAAAGTGCTGGCTCTGCTGTCTGTGACTCCACTGGTGGTGGTGGAGGAGAGATGCACTTGCTTGGTATTTCCAGGGATACCCCAACCCTGAAAACTTTCAAGGTCAAATTCAACAGGGCTCTGAGCAACCTGATCAAGTTAAAGATAATCCTGCACACTGCAGGAGAATTGAACTAGATGACCTTTAAAGATTCTTTCCAACCCAAGCACTCTGATTCTTTGATATCATGTCCACAACATGGCAACACTCGCTGGGTACTCTCCCAGCAGCATTCTTGTTGATAGGTGTTGTTGTTTTTAGTGAATATTTTTTCTTCTGTTTATGCACTTGAGGATGGACATGGGCAAGGCAAAGGGCCTGGTAGATGGCTCCTGGTCTGAAGCTCAAACCCCCTTGCCCTGGGCTGGGTCTTGTGTTTGAATCGTAGCTCCTTCAGCCATTAACATTTCGTAGCAAAGCAGCGCCGTGGGTCGTGGCATTGTGAGTACCCCTCTTTGGATCATGAAGGAATGCTGCCTGAGGAGGGAAGGTCACTAAGAGCAGTCCATTCCTACCAGCATGATATGTGGGCCAGCCTGCATGTGTCTGGGTGGATGCAGAGTGAATCCTCACCTGTGGTGAAGGTGGTTGAGACGAGGCCGCTGCGCACGGCGTTCTGGGCAGCCTGCAGGTGCACCGTGTACTCCGTGGTCTCAGAAAGCCCCTCCAGACGGATCCACGTGTCCTCCGCATCCACAATCAGCTCCTGTACATGGGTCCCAGAAGGAGGCAGACACCAAGAGCAACAGATGAGAAAAGCGCTGGGGAGCCTAAAGAGCAAGTGAGGAGGGAAGGGAAGCCACAAACTGCTGCAGCCTGGCTGAGGAGCAGTGCGTGATTGCTTAAACCCCTGGGCTGAGCAAATGTGAGTTCAGCCAATACAGCCAACATTTCAGAATGGTTTGGGTGGGGGAAAGCAACCTGGTTTGGAGATGGATTTAAATATTTGCAGTCTGTGTCCTCTGTCAGCTGGGTCTGTTGGGACCTGTGCCTTCAGTACCAGACATGACTGATTGCCCAAGCAGTGCAAGAAACAGAGCTGGCCAAACCTGGTTATCAGCCAGTTTTGACTCTGTTGATTCCTGTCATGTTAATTTTTTGGTTGTTGGCCAGTGCCACACAGCATTATTGGGTCCCTTTTGCAAAGCTATTATCCTCTGGCTGCTGAGAGCCAATCACACCAGCAAAGGAAATCAGACTGTTTGCCATGACATATTTCTGATGGTGTTTGTTGCAGCTCCTCCAGACAGGCAGATGTGGACACACTCATTAAATAATCAAATGTATTGTATTGCAGAATTAATTAGCTCTCTGTGCCTGTCTTGCTTTTTGCAGGAAGGGCAAATGGCCTTTTTAGCATCTCTGCAGAATAATATTCTCCTGCCTCAGCTTGCTTGTGTTTCACAAGCTGTGAATTGCCCCTGTTCCTCCAATCTCTCCAGGTAAACCCTCTATGCCCAGACCAGTAGGTGTGCATCAACATTTGACCTTAGGCAATCTCTTCTTGCTTTTTCCTATCATCCTGCTTAGCAGGAAGCAGTGTCTGCCCTTCTGGCCTCCCTGAGCCACTGAGCATCATTCTTTTGCTCTGTTTGGCTTCTCCTGCTTTTTTTAACATGGTCTTGTTACTCCCTGACTGAATGAGGCTCTTTGGTGTGAGGTCTGAGGCTCTTTGGTGTGAGGACTCGCTCACCTTCCTGCTGCCATCGCTGGATCTGTAGGTCATGATGTAATTCTCAATCTCTCCTAAGGGAGGAACCCAGGAGAGCAGGGCGCTCCGTCGTGTGACTTCGCTGGCTGTCAGATTGGTTGGAGGATCCAGAACTGCAAGAGTGGATAGGAACACAGGGAAGTGCAATTTCTCACACACAACCACCTCAACCCTGCTTCCCAACTCAGTACACTGGGATTCAACCTTGCAGCACTGAGCTACCGCCCAAAGTCATCCTCACCCTCAGTTTCAAGATCTCATCACCCATCCCCAGTCTTGAACAGAGCTCTGCAAACCCTCTAGAAGTCCTCTTCTACCTATGTGCCACCTTAAGGGTAACAGCTGTGAAATTCATGTGCTATGGGACCTGTCAAGCAAAATGGGTTGTTGTGTTCTTCTGGACTATGGCCTTGGGCAAAAAAAAAGACCTGGTCAGGTCTTGCTAAGGAAACCATAGCCAGGGGAAATCACCAGAAAAAAGGGATGGATGGATGGATGGATGTTGAAAGAGTGAAAATAATGGTTGATGCTTGTTGATTAAAATCGTGTTCTCGTGTTGTGCCCTGTGCTGGTATTTGGGATGGTGTTTGTGTCCTTTTGGCTTGTGGCTACCTCTATACCCACACGAGCTATGTAACAAGAGCTTTGGCTCAGCCTTGCTGGCTGCTTTTCCTGGGGTGAGTGCATGGCTAGGGATGAAGGGTGAGGGAAGGGATTGTACATACGAGTGGTGAAGTTGGTGCTGATGGTCTGGCTGGTGAGAGGCCCGCTGGTGGCATACATAGACACTGTGTAGGTGGTACTGGGCAGCAGGTTGGTCAGCTGGTACTCCTGGTTGTCTCCATCCACGAGAATTGTTTCTCCTGCAACTGTAAGAAAAAAGGGATGAGATGGGGTATGTGACCATGTTGACAGGGGTCTGAGGATGAGGGAAGAGATGAGGATCTGACTCCATGTTTCAGAAGGCTTGATTTATTATTTTATGGTATATATTATATTAAAACTATACTAAAAGAATAGAAGAAAGGATTTCGTCAGAAGGCTAGCAAGGAATAGAAAAAGAAAGAATGACAAAGGCTTGTGACTTGGACAGAGAGTCTGAGCCAGCTGACTGTGATTGGCCATTAATTAGAAACAACCACATGAGACCAATCACAGATCTGCCTGTTGCATTCCACAGCAGGAGATAATCATTGTTTACATTTTGTTCCTGAGGCCTTTCAGCTTCTCAGGAGAAAAAATCCTAAGGAAAGGATTTTTCATAAAAGATGTCTGTGACAAGGGTAGACATTCAAGGTGGTTCTCCAAAATGTGTCTCTGGATATGACCTCATGACAAAAAGCACTTCTATTGCTGAAACAGTGGTGCTGTTCAGTCTGAAGGGTGATCTAATTTTTCCCACAATCTCTATAAAACCCCAAGGCAAGGGCTCCTTCCCTTCTCCCTCTGTGAAGGGCTCCTACTGAGCCCTGGGCTTTGGGATGGGAGAGAGGCAGAGGTGAGCTGAAGCAGAGCCCTGGGGTACCTGCACGGCGGGTGAGGATGAGGACGTAGCTTTCCACCTCCGACAGCGGCGGGTTCCACTGCAGCAGCGCCTCAGTGGGAGTGATGTTGGTGGCTGTGACCCCCAGGGGGACATCCATGGCTGCATGGGGGAGAGATCCAGAGAGTCAGAGGCATTGGGAGACTGGACTATGAGCTGGAAGGGCTTCTTGTGGCATATTGCTCTATGCCCTGCCCTGCTGCCCAAGGAGGAGTTAGTGTGCCCAAGCTGGAGTGCAGAGATGTTGTAGTTTGTGTTATTCTGCTACCTGGGCTGCTCTTCCACTCTTTTCTAGATGCCCAGTCTGGCTTGTCAGGGATTTTCTTTAGGCTTTGAGGAGTCTGGAGATAGCAGAAGGTTTTATTCTTGCAGCATATGCTGCTTGTGACAGGGCTTCCCTAGGGATTATTTCTGGAAATCTGTACTCTGTTTAGGAAAGGTTGTCATGATTGCCCAGCAGCATGTTTCTGGCTTCATGGTGCCTGGTACACAGGTTTATCACTTTTACCCATGACTACCCATGCATATTTGGGATAAACTTTGCTGAGACATACTTCAAAAGCCCACCTTAGCCCTTCTGAGCCCTGCTTATCATCTCCAGCTTGCATCCAGCTGGTGTGAGGTCCAGCTTGCTCTCAGTCACCTGGGTATTAGTGCAGGCAGGGACTGCCAGCCCTGGGCAGGATGGAGCTGACACTGTTTGGCTGTTCCCTGCCCACCAAGAGCTCCTTCTCACCTGTGTATGCAGTGATGGAGGCCAGCTCACTCTCCTCCCGGCCCCGCACGCTCTTCAGCTCGATCTCATACTTGGTGGCAGGCTGCAGGTCCTGGAGGGTGTACTCAGTGGCAACCCTGGAGATGGCCATGCTCTCTGTCCTTCCTGCAGAGATGGAGCCAAGAGCTTTGACTTCATGGCTGGCCCCATCCCTGGGGCTTGGGAGGGGAGGACAGTTTCACAGGACACTGGAGGTAACTGGGTTTTGTGCCTGCAGGTGCACTTCTGTGTGCCTGGCACCCTGTTGGCCTGGCCTTTCCAGCATCATCCACAAAACTAGGGCCAAGGGAGATGAGGTAGGTGAAGCAGATGAGAGAGCTGGGATTTCAGGATTGAGCCCTGAATTTAACCATCTCTGGGGAGGGCACACTGCTGGGGGCCATTCTGTGTGCCCCTCTGTGCCGAGCTGGCTGCAGTGGTCCCTTCCCATCCTCTGCCCTGGAGCCAATCCCAGTTACTGCTGGCTTTGCCCAAGGCACTGAGGTGCTACCTAGGTGGGGATGACCTAGTGGCTTGCTTGGGCCAGCAGATGGAGGGAGGGCTGGAGCTGTGAGCTCGGGGCATGAACAGGAGTGCTGTGGCCCCTTACCTTCAGCAGCACGGTAGGATATCCTGTAGTGGTCAAAGGCAGCAATGGGAGCACTCCAGTAGACCATCATGGACTCCTGGGTGACATTGCCCACCCTGAGGTCCCTTGGTGCATCAATTCCTGGTGAGATGGAGCACAGAGAAAAGCTGTGGGAGGCAGGCCCACTCCCCATGCCCCTGCCTGCCCTCCCCTGTGCCTGCTGGGGGGTGTCCCGTGGTACCTGTGGTGATGGAGCCCACGACAGGGTCAGAGCTGATGGTGCCATGCACGGCCACCAGGGACACCAGGTACTCTGTGGATGGCTGCAAGCCCGTCAGGCTGGTGTGCCTGCGGGTGCCATCCAGTGTGACCTGCTGGGCCTCCTCCTCCTCGTCCCGGCGGCTGTAGGTGAGGATGAGGCGGTCTGCTGGTGGGGATGGGTCACTCCATGTGACATTGACACTGGAGGATGTCAGCTGGGAGAAGTGCAGCTGTGAGATGGGCCGAACGCCTGGAAGATGGAGAGGAGAGATGCAACTCCAGCCATCTGCAGATCCTTACCTCCATGTTTTTCCCAGTGCTTGAATGGGAAATACTTAAAAGAGGTGGCAAAGCTGAAGATCTGGGCTCTCCATTGATCTGAAACTCTGCTGGGATCAAAAGGCAGAACCAGGAGGGGGGAAATGGTGCTTTTCTCAGCTCCACTGCAAGCATCCTCCATCCCAGACCCATACAGTGAGTAATGGAACTGTCCCACTGCAGATGGTATATGTTGTCTGCATTTCATGACTGCAGACTTTTCAGCCAGAGGTCCTTGTGAGGTCCCCCAAGGCTTCATTTCTTCTTATGGGCACACAGACCACCCTGCCCACAGAGGACAGCACAGGGCTATCTGTTTCCCCAGTTCTGTCTTGTCCAGCAAAGCAAGTGTGTTCAGTGCTGCTGGCCAAAGGGATTGTGCCACCACAGTGGTAGGGCCATCCTCCTTTTGAGGTCACCTGCTCCTGTGTGGACACATTGACCCCAGCTCTCATCCCCATCACCACCTCAAGGGTTTTAATGCCAGGGATGCAGTGAGCTGGCAGAGATGCCAACAAGGTCTGTGCCCTTGTCCCCATGCCAGCTTGTGCTTCCCTACCTGTGAAGGCATCCACGGTGGCCTCCAGGCTCTGCTGCCGTCCCCTCTCAGCAATGATGGAGATGGTGTACTCTGTGCCGGGCTCCAGCTCCGAGAGGGTGAGCTGTGACTCGTCCCTGGACACTGTCACTTCCGAGGCCATTCCCGAGGCAGGGGTGAAGGTGACGCGGTAGTGGTCGATGGGACCCGTGGCTTTGGTCCAGGCCAGTGAGATGGACGTCTCAGTGGAGGCTGTCACCAGCAGGTCCCGCGGGCTGTCAAGCTCTGTGGGAGAGGGTTGGTGCAGAGCTTTGTCCCCATGCACAGACTGTCCCATGAGGGCGTCTGAGCCATAGCAGCCAGCTGTGCTTGGAGCAGGCAGTGGGGCCAAACTCACCAGTCCTGGCATTCATGGTCGCTGGCACACTCTGCTGGCTGTCCATCACAGCTGAAATCCCAATGCCATACTCTGTTCCCGGCACCAGATCTACCAGGGAGGGCAGAGAACACAACAGGGTTTGAGAGCAGCACCTGGCAGAGTGACCTCAGGGCTCTCCAGGGTATCCCTCAGGTCAGCAGTTCCTCTGCACATTGCAGAAGAGCTGAGTCTTTTCAAAAAGCCCCGTGGATGCCATTGGACAGGGAATTTGGGTTATTTTAGCTCAGAAACAAGCCATTTTTAAAAGTTGTTGCTGAGGTCTGCTGCAGTTGCTGGCGGTGAGACAGAAGCTCTTGTGTGTGTGAGCTGAGATGGAAATGATAAAGTAGCTATATTTTTTTTCCAAAGTGATCAAATATTGTCACAGGGCTGGTGTCTTGGAGAGAAATAAACTATGCAGAGTAAATGAAATGCACATTAATTGAGAAAGGTGCAGTCTTTCTGGGAGCTGAATCAAGCCCTGTTCTTTAGGGTGGACATATCCTGAGGTGCCTCTCTCAAGGGACTTGGGAATTGAGCTCATCCAGCTCCTTTCCTCTTGCACTGCTTTATCTCCTTGGAATATCTCTTGCCTCTGCCTGTCACTTGGCTTGGCTGCTGGTGGCTTTATTCCCCTCTTCCCTGTGCTTCATGATCTTTCCCACAAAGCTAGAAAAATCCATAAACTTTCCAGCTCAGCCTCTTTGTGCCTTGCCCAGGGGCAGCATCCCCTGGAGCCACCAAAACCTTTCCCAAGAGGTCAGGAGGGAGGGGAAACTCTCCTCCCCTGCTTTTCTCTTGCTACAGTGCAGTCTTGGTGATGAGGAGAAGATGGACCCCCTTGACCCTGCTCAATAAGTGTCAGAAGTTTTCTGGAAAAAAGAGCCTGGCAGAAGGTAGGAGAAGGAAGAAATCAGCGGGAGGATATAAACCTTTTCTCTCCCAGCTCTTTGGGATGAGCAAAATTATGGTTATTTCTGTGCAAATGCTGATTTTTAATAGAGATTATGGGTCAGGGCCAGGCTTGCTGCACTTTTAAGTGTAAATCTTTGATAAACTCTGCTCAGTGCCATTCCTCACTGCTTTTCCTGCAGGTAGATGAGACTGACTGAAAGAATTGCTGGTTACTTTCATACCATGGATCCCATCAGGTCCTGGGTGACTGGGAAAAACCCCAATGGGTTTTGCACAAAGTCCAACAAGACTGGAGGCCATGACTACTCTGTACATAAGGAGCTATGGGAGATGCTCGTGTGCCACCCACACTGTAAGTATCATAGCTTTTTTTTTTTGCTAGCAGAATGGCTTTTTCATTATTTTCTGCTATGACCAGGTTGGTTTGTTTTTTTTTTTTTAATTGGTTTGTTTATGACACAGTAAACTGGGGACTGGAAGCAATGCACTTGTGTGATGATGGAGGTACTATATAAAAAATCACTCTCTACAGTTGACTTAAGAATCTGCATATCTGCAGCTTTCTCTGGTTGGGTTTCTTGCAGCCTTACCTGAGTCTGGAAGAGCCTTGGCAGCTTTTTTAGTTTTATTGAGAAAAACAAGAGACTTTAGGCTCTTGCCATACATTCCAAGGCAAGCTCAGGTTAAGCCATGGATATTGTCAGTTTGTGTCACTGTTGTGCCTCTGCCCAGGGAGGGGGATTTGGCCCATTTTTAATGCTTCTTCTCACCTAGAAAGCCAATAAATGTCCTAAAGGAAAGCTAGCAGGAGTCCAGCACTGAGTCTCTGATCTCATCCTATTTCTCCCCATGCATCCTCATCAAGAACACAGAAGAAATCAGCCCTGATGTTTTTCCTCTTTCTGCATTCCACATTTTTCATAACTGCTCTAATTGCCATGCTGCCCTCCAGCCTTTCTTGTGACTCTGCTGCTGTATCTGTAACTTAACTTTTGGCTTTCCCACTGACTTTTCTCCTATAACTTCATATAGCAGATTCCTGAGCCCTTGAAAGTCCTGGGAAGGCAGAGAGTCAACATGGGAGAGCCTTTAGTCCGTCCATACTGAAGAACTTCAAGATGAATAAGAACATTTTTGCATATAATTCTTTTCTTTGCTCAAAATATGCCACTGGAGCAGCAAATCCATGAGGTAAGCAGTTCTAGTCAAAAAGCAAGGTAATCATATCTCACATGGTGCTTTGCTATGTTGCTGCATAAGGGGTTTGGGGCTTTCCTGGCAGTGGGAGGTGGGTGGTGTTTGCAGCCCCTCTGCTGGCCTGAATAATGTACCACTTAAAGGACTTGCTCAAAACCAGCATCTCTAGATTTGGGTCTGCTTCGAGCCCACTTTGGAAAAAGGCACAAAACTCAGGCAGCCTGGCTCCCCATCACTGCCCACAGGACATCATCACCCATGGCTCTTTCTAAACAAGCAAAAAAAAGAGTGAAATACTATTTTCCTGTAGATCAGCCTAAATAGACTTCTTCCCATTTCTCCCTTTGCTCCTTGCCAGCTCTGTTTGCCACCTGGACAGGTGACACTGTTGAGTCAGGGACAGAAAGAAGACTCCAGGTGGATCAGAAGGCAAAAGGGTTTAATGAAAGTAGCTGGGTCTTTTTGCAGTGTGACTCACTAAGGTGACACTTGATTGGTCTCAGAGTAGAAACATCTCATATTATTGGTGACTATGAATAGCACCCTGTAGAGAACCATATCTATAAACAATGGTTACAGAAAGAGAGATAGTAATTGTTTGAATTCTTTCATTTAAGTTTTCCACAGCTTCTACACAGCTTCCTAGGATTTTCCTGGGAGAACCATGTCTCTCTCTGTTTAGAGGATATATAATTACTACAGACAGATCCTTGCTGGAGGTGTACCCAGACCCAGACACAGGGGAAAACAAGCTCTATCCCAAGGAAAACCTTCTCTCCAGTAAATAGTAAACTCCAAAACAACCTCAAACATGTGCCAGCACAAGGGCAACTGTGTCTTGGTGCTGATTTGGGATCTGCTTTGCCCTGCCTGGCTGAGCGGAGGGGGAGGAAGGGCACTGTGACCGTGTTCACAGGGGTCCCAGGATGAGGGAAGAGATGAGGATCTGACTCCATGTTTCAGAAGGCTGATTTATTATTTTATTATATATATTATATTAAAACTATACTAAAAGAATAGAAGAAAGGATTTCATCAGAAGGCTGGCTAAGAATCGAAAAAGAGGGAATGAATAACAAAGGCTTGTGGCTCGGGCAGAGAGTCTGAGCCAGCTGACTGTGATTGGCCATTAATCAGAAACAACCACATGAGACCAAGCACAGATCCACCTGTTCCATTCCACAGCAGCAGATAACCATTGTTTACATTTTGTTCCTGAGGCCTTTCAGCTTCTCAGGAGAAAAAATCCCAAGGAAAAGATTTTCCAGAAAATATCATGGCTCCAGGGCAGGAGGGCGCGTGCGTACCTGCGAGGGTGGCGCGGGTGGTGGGGCCGGCGTGGCGCGGCACCAGGAGCTCGTGGTAGTGCTCCCCAGCCAGGGTGCTGTAGACCACCCTGTAGCTCTGCGCCTCGGCCTCGCTGTTGTCCCAGGCGAGCTCGAGGCTGGCGGGGCTCCGCGAGCCCACCCGCAGGTTCTTGGGGGCGTCGATCTCTGCGTGACACAAGGGACAGAGGCACGGTGTCACCGTGGGGAACGCACCCCGCAGCCCTGCCACAGCCAGGGGGGACAGCCAGGAGATCCCCCCTCCTCCCCTGAGCATGGCCTGGCAGGAAGGGCTGGAACATTTGCTCTCATCCCCTGCACCCTCCCTGCTCACTCCAAGCACAGGCTGGGCGATGCCACCCAGGAGGGTGACACAAATGCTGGCAGTGTCCTCGGTAAGTTGGTTTGGCAGCTAGTTCCATGTTATTTAAAAAAGAAAACTCTTTTCCCCTATATTAAGGTAAAAGAAACCGAGGCACTGTAAGAGGAAAAGGGCTCTGTAGTAACCATGCATTGGCCTGAACTGCTCTTAGAAGAAAACCTTGAGCATCTTTACAGGCTCATTCACACTCAGACACTGCCCAAAGGGTTTGTTTATTGGTGCTGCTCAGGCTGTGTACTGAATCTGCTCTGGTTTGCACAATAAACCCCTCCGGTGAGCAACAGCTGGGGCTGGGCACCAATGGACAGTGAGTAATGGTGATGGATCTGAGTTTGGGGGGGTGCTTTTATGTTGCCTTTTAGAAATAAAGCAAGGAAGGCCAAGGCAGCAAATCAGCTGGGGTAAGCATCTCGTCTGAAATATTTATCTATAGAGATATGTACACACACAATTCACGTCCCACAGTTATTACTGTAGGAGCCTCATAGCCAGCAGTAATGTACATGACAATTTATATACCATAAACCAGCACGGAAATACACGCTCTGACTCCTCCTTTATGGCACGGTAAATTAAATCCCTTAGCTATCTGCAGGCTTAACATTCATTAAAGTTTTACTGACCAGTTAGGGTGCTCAGAGAAGTTATAAAATAAGATAACCACGTTTCTGCATGTGCTGGTTTCAGCTGCTTAACTGCTGATTCCTTGGTCAAGGCACCTGCCTTGGCTCTTGATGCCGAGTGGGAGCAAGTGTTCCCTTGAACTCAGACCTGTGCTGAGCATTTTGGTGCCTTTGAGAATTGTGCATTGAGCTGTGGGTGCTCTTAAGGATGTAAACTGCTGAGTTCTAGAGTTCTAAGCTGTGGGTCTGAACGGGCACTGGAGTTGGTGGGGATGTGTGTCTCAGGCAGCTTCAACCTTGATGCTGCAGCAAGACGTGGCCAAGATGGGGTTGGTTTGGGGTTTATCATCTAAATAGGGGGCGTTGAGTCCATCCATGCCTCATCACTGGCATCTGGGATCACCTGGACTGCCCTGGGGACTAAATGAGCATCCCTGGGGGGCACAGGGCATTCATCACAGCTCTCTCACACCCATTACAGCTGTAATGCAACTTGTGCCCTTCTCTTGAGTTGGTTGTTGACAATAATTCCTCTTTGACTTTTTATGGTGGTATTTCCCAGGATTTGGGAGAGTTGGATGGGGAAAGCTGGAAGCTTTGGGGACACCAGAGAGGACCTTTTGTAGTGGAGGTTTAGAGTCTAAACAGCCACTAGCAGCAGGAGCGGGGACAGAGGGCAGTTGTAGGGTGTGTATTTTAGGGTGAGCTGAATCATTTGCTCTGCCTGCTCTGTGATGGGATGAATGCAATTGCCACCATTTTCACCTGCATCTTAACCACTGTATTTTCATCCCACTTCTTCCTCCTAGCACACCAAACCCCAGCTCACTTGCGCCAGCAGAAAAAGAGGCATCACCAACCCCCCAGATGCAAAAACCCCTCAGCTTTTCCTCCTTGCTGCGGGACAGCCCATCTGCAGACGGCAGCAATCCACCTACCCATGCTTGCCAAAGAGACTCAAAAATTCACGCCCAAAAATCCATTTCTCCCAGCAAGGGCAGCTCTCTACCTGTGGTGAACTGTGCAAAGGCGGGGCGGCTCTCGTTGGCGCCGCGCAGGGCGCTGACGGCGAGGTGATAGCGGGCGCCGGGGCGCAGGGCCTGCAGGGAGTACTGGCTGAGGGGGGGCTGCAGGCGGAAGGTGGTCCTGCCGCCCTCCCCGTCTGCCAGCCCGTACTTCAGCAGGATGGCGTCCACCTTGGCGCGAGGAGGGCTCCACTCCACGAAGGCCACCGTGTCCGAGACGTCCCGCACCAGGATCTGCGTCGGGCCGTCGATGACTGCGGGGGGAAACGGGCACCTGTTATTGCGGGAGAGTTGGATGGGGAAAGGTGGGAGATTTGGGGATGCCAAGGTTCAGGGATGCTTCAGGCTGACCTTCAGAGCGGCTGGCATTGGGATGTGGGGACAAGGGAGGGAGGTGGTGTGGGCAAGAGGCATGACCCTGACCCCAAGATACTTTGGTCCTCATGGTTCCCAGTCTCTTGTCCCAATCTCCTGGCTCTTTCCTGAACCCTCTCCACTTTCTGCAGACACCAGAGCAGGACCCAGCAGCTCTCTCATTGATACCCATTACAGCTATAATGCAGCTTAAAACCTTCTCTTGAGCTGGTTGTCCACAATAATTCCCCTTTGACTTTTTAAGGTGGTATTTCCCAGGATTTGGGAGAGTTGGATGGGGAAAGGTGGAAGCTTTGGGGACATCAAGATTCAGGGATGCTTCAGGCTGACCTTCAAAGCAGCTGGAATTGGGATTTGGGGACAAGGGAGAGAGGTGGTGTGGGCAAGAGGCGTGACCCTGAACCCAAGATACTTAGAGGGTTTGGTACTCATGGGTTTGCCCTTGTCCCAGTCTCCTGGCTCTTTCCTGAACCCTCTCCACTTTCTGTGGACACCAGAGCAGGACCCAGCAGCTCTCTCATTGACACCCATTACAGCGATAATGCAGATCGTGCCCTTCTCTTGAGCTGGTTGTCAACAACAATTCCTCTTTGGCTTTTTCAGGTGGTATTTCCCAGGATATAAAACTCCTATATCTAACTGCAACACACGTTCTTAGCTCTTAGATAGCTGCTTGTACTTTTGCATTGAAAAAACATGTAATTTTCCTTTGTGCCCAGCTCTTCAAACTATCCAAACAACTTTTATTGATGTTCTTCTATGCAATTTACTCTTTTCCGATCCTTTCCATCATTGGCAAAATTTATCAGCAACAGTATTATGTCTTTTGAAAGGTGTTGACAATGTGTTAAATAACATGGGGCGAAGGACAAGATCCAAGTGTTGAGAACTGAGGAATGTCTCTAGAAATGTTCCTGCTTTGGTGCCAGCTCCTGGTTTGTCCTTAAACTGAGGAATCAGCTCATAAAGCTGTTGGTGGCTTGGCAGTGGGAAGAGAGGAGAAAATGCAACTGTTCTGGTGAATCTTCATAACTAGCTGGGTGTGGGGCTATGGTTGGTGTCCTAAAAAACCTTTCAGATAAAAGGCTTTTAGAAAAATTCATGCCAGAGATCTACTGGGAGACATTTTTGGACATTTCTGCCTTTTTTTTTTTTTTTCCAGAGATTTGGGGCCTTCCTTCTTCCACACCCTCCAACACTCAACCTTTGGAGATCCTGGGCTCAAGCCTGGCTGATGGATGCTTTGAGTCCAGCAGGACTGGATGGATGGATGGATGGATGGATGGATGGATGGATGGATGGATGGATGGATGGATGGATGGATGGATGGATGGATGGATGGATGGAGCCAAGCCTTGCCATCACTCCTGTGCCATGGCAGTGCTCATGCATGAAGCCTGCTGGGCAGCCTGTGTTATCACTTAGAGGATCACAAGGTGGGTGAAAAAGCCCACTTTAGTTCTGTAATTCAGACTATACCATGTATACACATACCTGTATAATGACAGTATATAAGGGCCTGCTTAATGCTGCACCTCAGGGTTGGAAGTTTTGGGGGATGAGCATGTGGCAGGGGTGGGAAGCACTGGGGGGGGTAGAAAAGGACATGGAGGAATTTGGAGTAGTGAGGTGAGGTCTGGGGGCAAAACAACAGAGGAGGGAGCCCAGCTGGGAGTCCCAGTGTTCAGGTAGGAGCTGTCTGTCCAGCTTGGCCAGGACCAGGTCATGCACACCCTCAATGTCCAACATGCTGTCCAGCCACCCAGGGGATCCACATCTACTTAGCTGTATAGCACAAGGTGTGGAGGAAGAGCAAGGGTGGTGGGGATGAAGCTCTGGGGGTGCTGCAGAGGAAGGCAGACACGAGCACAGGGATGCCTCCATGGAGCACAGATCCTGTGGAGCAGAGGGCTCCACCTGCACTCCCTGCAAAGGTCAACCCTCGAGTCTGAAGTACCAGCTTCTATTTTTGCTGACTTCCCAGGGAAAGGAAGTTTCTGCCTTGACCAGGAGATGTCTCTATTAAGCCACGCCGAGCTGAACACGGAGGCAAAGCAGGAGGAGAGGACTGTGCTGGGGAAGATCAGCCCTGCAACAAACTGCTGCGGTGGAGGGACCCTCCCTTCACTCTCAGCGCTGCCTCAATTAGCAGCACCTCATTACAGCCCTCCGGCAGCTATTTAAGTGCTGTTTCCTCTCGGAACAGCTTAGGTGGAGCTAGTAGACGTCTGCCTGGCTTTCAAGGCAGTCTGCACCAGATTTGGTGTGAAGAGACTCCTCTCCCCTGTGAGCTCTGCCCATCACTGCATCTCCTTCAGCAAGAAGACCCAGCTGAATTTTCTCTGGTCTACAGGAAGGACCAGTGAGTGGGCAAACAAATCGGTTAGGAAGGGACATGCTGTTGCTCCTGGCTCCCTGCCCTGCTGCCTGATTTGCCTGAATAGGTGGGAGTTGAGGGCATTTAGTGGCACAAAATCAGGTGGGAGTTTTAATCTGTTATGTATGAGTAAGTAATACATTTGTAGATATATTTCTTGAGGACATCCAGCCTTCAAAATGTGAGATTACCAGAGAAGATAATTTATCCAGCTATACAATAAAAGCAGAACTGAGTCTTTGCTCCCAACCCCATTAACCTTGCCACAGCTTCTGCACTTGTGACAATTTAGGAGAGGGACAAAACACTTCACAAAGTTGCTGCAATGTTGGCTGCAAGTTTCATCCCTGCCCATGGGACTTTATTTTTGGGACCTGCTGTGCTGCCCCCGGGTGAGGCTCACTCACGGGTTGAGACGCTGTCAGAGGTGGGAGGGCTTCTGGCTTGTTCCTTCAGGGCCACCACGGTGACAGTGTACTCCTCCCCCGGCTTCAGCCCCGTCTGGTTGAAGGTGGTGACGGTGCTGGGGAGCTGGGCAATCACACCACCCTCGTTATTCTGTCAGGGAATGAAACAAGCATTAACCCTCCCTCACCAGCTGGTGTTTTGGGGGGCACTGATGCACAACAGGAGGTGCCCCCCATGTTGCATCCTTCCACAGCACACACTGCATCCCCAAATCACATTGTCACCTTGGCACACCCCAGCATGGAGGGAGAAAGCTGGGATGAAGTCACCCACCAAGCATGGAGTGCTTGTATTGTTGGGCTGCAAAATCCTCCCCATCCCTCCTCCCTCCCCAGCTTCTGTGTATTTGTGCCTGTGCTGTTCAGAAAGAGGAAAGATGATTAAACCAAAACCTTGCCTAGGCTTGTTTTCCCTGCTCTTCAGGTGCCAGGAGCCTTTTGTTGTTGATGTATAGGTATGAAGCTGTGAGGTCTTTATTTTGCTGTCACCTGCTTTTTAGCCATCTTTAGTACACTCATTTATGCCTTGTGGTTTTGCCCTGGAAAACTGTGAGGCTTTAAACAACTGCACATGTCACCTTTCCTGCCAGAGCTTGGACAAAGGATCTTTTCTTGCTGCTGTCTTCACTAATAACATGCTAAACAAATCTTTGCACATAACTCTCAATTCATATTCATCCCTTTTCTCATTAAACAGGAAACCTTCCATTTTAGCCATCAGTCACCATTTTACCTTTCCTAATTTTCTTTGCTAAATCTGTCTTTTCTTTGTCTTTTTCCCACCCCATCCCCAGTGCAGGCAGCAGATGGGCAATCCTGCCTGACCCAGCTTTTGTGGGGGTGAGAGCATCACAGAGACCATGGAAGGAGAGTGGAAAGAGCTTTGCAGGAAGTTGCAAGCATCCTCACTGGGCTGCTGAGGACCAAATTAGCATCTTCTCACCCAGTTTTTGGGAAGACAGGTCAGTTTTTCTCATAGAGGTTGTGATGCTGCAGTTATAAATTATAACTCTGTTGTTTTTAGCCTTTGGGAATGGGTTTTGGGTTTGTTTGAGGTGTGGCAATGTTTCAGCATATACCCAAGCAAGCACTGCTTGCAGGGCAGTAAAGGACACAGCACCCTCTGCCTAATTTTAGGGGAAAAGGCAATGATGGAGACTCCAGAAAGGCCAATTTTGGCAGCTGATGGGCAGGAACATGACTGTGACTTTATGTCTTAACTCATGGATTTGAGAACTTTAAAGCCCAGAGAACTACATTCCTTCCCTACCCAAAACTCTGCATCCAGGAACAGCCATCCTTTTGCCTCTTATCTGCCTTTAAATCCCAAAATGTTTCCATGTATTTTTAAGTTTAAGCTTAAAAACAGAAAAAAGAACCAATGGTTTGCATTTATTTGCTTCACGGGGATGCTGTTCAGCTAAATTCCTGAGTAATAAAATGTTGGAAAGAGCTATTTTTTCCTACCAAAAGCTTTACTCTGATATTTTTCAGCTTTAATCCTGAATGATCAGCTGATGGTGACTGCAAATTATCCCAGGGTCTATACCTGCATTGCATGAGCTTCACCTTCTGACACAATTTGCATGTGGATGTAGCCAACATCACATCAATAATCTCCCAGCAACTCTTTGGAGATGACAGAATTGAGTTATTTAAGGCAATTGGGCCCTTGTTTTGTGCTGTGCAATGATACTTCATAGTTAAGAGTATTTAAAACTTTGGGGCCAAATTCTGCAGTTCTCCACTGCCCAGAGCTGCCTTTGATTCCAGTGCAGGTTTTTGTACAAGTGACAACATCATAATTGAGCCCTTAATCAGCATTTCTTTTACTGCTGGGGCTTGAATGCTCTTATAAAGAGGCTCCATGTACAATTGAAGCTGTACTTGTGGCTAAATGGTGTAGAAATTATGAATATAGACTAAATACTTGATGTACCATTTTTGTTGCTGTGCACAGAAAATATGGGGTATTTAGGGCAACATTTTTATCCTTTCATCTTTTCTGGCAGGGTTTCTACCTGCTCGTCACTGCGATTAAAATTAAAATTCCATGGCAGGAATGAACTGTGCATGTGACTTGAGGGAGGGGGCTGAAGGTTCTTGTCTGAGAGCCAGCAGCTGCTCACTTTGATCCAGGCTGCTTTGGGGAGCTTAGTGTAGAGAGCAGGGCAAGGAAAAGGAGGAGGAGGAGTAGGAAGAGTCATTGCAGAGGAGATGGAAAGGAAAAAGAGGGTGCGACAACAAGAGTGAGGCTGGAAGGATTTTTTTCACATCACTGGATTTTTTGGGGGACATTTCTTTGAGGACATGCATTGACACAAAAACTAATGGGGAAATGCAGGCTGGCAGTCTGGGGAGTCTGGTGTGCAGCACAGAAATGGCAAACACAGGCTGGGTGTTTGGGGAAGGGGGTAATTGGAAATGGATTTAGGATGCTGTCACTGGGTGCACCCTGCAGTGCCAGGGGTGTGGCAGCAGTACCTTGGGGATGAAGCTGATCTCCCAGCCGTCCAAGGGGAAGGAGAAGGGCTCCCACTGCACCTCTGCTGTTGTCTCTGTGATGGTCTTGAACTTCAGCCCCTGTGGTGTGGCCAGGTCTGCAAGGGAGCAGGGGGTGGTGAGCAGAGCGGGGTGGGTGTGCACATGCTGTGCCCACCCTGCTCCCCGTGGGTATTTTGTTATCTGGGCAACAAAAACAGGGAAACTTTCTTAGCAAAATTCCTCTTTCCCTGCTCCACCCGTGGGTTGGAGGGAAAAGAGGGAAATGCCTGTACCTATGGACACTGAAGAATCCTACTGCATTATCATGTGAACAGAGTGAATGATGGGTCTGGATAGTTTCTGTTTTTCCCTGCCCTCTGTATCTATCCTTATCTCCAAGAAACCCCTTTGGAGGCTGGCATTACAGCTTGATACTCCTGTTTTCCTCCGTGCATCATGGTCCTGGCCAGGACTGTGCTTCTCCTGATGCACAGCAGCATCCCCTCTTGCTGCACCATCATGGGGAGGCATCACAAGGAATCATCTGTCCAGGAGGGAGAGGAGAACCTGAGACTTCTGTGTTATATTGTAGTATTTTCTCTGAGGAAAAAAATTGTATGCTTTGGGCCACATTCTGGGGGCTTCAGTCAAACTCTGGAAGCTTTTTCTGTTTTTTAGACATCCAGATTTTCAGCCAAACTGAGTCTTTCTGAAGAGGATGGACACATTTCTTCCTTTCCTATATCCCTATAGTGATACAATTTTTTTTTTCTTCTTCTTCTTTTTGAAGGCTCAAGTTTCTGCTGCTAGAAGGTTTTTATGTAAAAAGTGAGCCAGCTTGAGCATCCCCTCAGGACACCTGGGCAGCAAGCAACAAGTGCAGTAGGATACTTACTGGTCATCACCCTGGAGGTAACAGGGGTGCTGAAGGCATCACTGATGACTGCATAGATGCTGACATTGTAGGCAACACCTGGCTCCAGATCCGTGATGGTGATGCTGCTCCAGTCCCCAGGCACCCTCTGCTGGAGCTGGGTGCCCCCTGGCACGGCAGGCTGGTAGGACACCACGTACTCAGAGGCTGCCCCGGGGCTGTCCCAGGCCAGCTCGATGGAGCTGTCGCCGATCCCCGTCACCCGCAGGTTCTCAGGGGGAGACACTGGTGGGAAGGACAGAGGGATGGAGAGTGTCAGTGTGTGCCTGGCTTATTCTTCCGCTCCTGTGGGAGGCTGTGTAGGTCTGCTGGTGGGCACAGACTGGGGGTTATGTGATACCTGCGGTTGTCTGGACAGTTATAACAAGGTAAAGGCTCAGGAGAACCTGTTGCACTGTTTAGCCCCCATGCTGGGATGTGTGGGGATTTATAAAATTAGAGAGTTTTGGGAAAATTGTAAAAGATAGGTTTTACAGACAGTAGAATTGTGATTAGAGTTAAGTAGTAGGTATAAAATTGGTTAGTAGAAAAATTAAGTAAGAAGTAGAAAAGTTAGGATCAATAGAACAGTGGTTTGTGTGCTAACATTTGTTTAGAATAATTTTTTAAGTTGTAGAAAAGTATGTTTAGTAAGATATTAGGAATTTCTAAGCTTAATAATGGAGTTTTGTGCATTGTGTTTTAAGGCTTACAAGCAGGTATTATATTCTAAATAAGCAAGCATTGTTTTAACCAAAGGTGTGTGTGCTTATAGTGGCTGGATGTAACCACTGTCAATGTGCTTTTGCTTTGTGTGATTGGTCAAAAAACTTTTAAAGTGAGTTCTAACATTAAGTTCTGTGTCTGCTGCCTGGGATGTGAGCTGCTGGCATCTTCTCATTGTCATAACCATGTAATGAGGCTGATGCTGGAAAACAAACAGCTCAAGGCACATTCCCAGCAGTCTCATCCTGTTTGTGATTTGTACATAGCCCCAGCTGGCTGGGATGAACCACACCAGCTTTTTGCTCACCTCCCAGACTGGAAGCTGGAAAATAAACCAGCTGATGCTGGAAAATAAACCAGCTCAAGGCACATCCCTAGCAGTCTCATCCCATTCATGATTTGTACATAGTCCCAGCTGGCTGGGATGAACCTCACTAGCTTTTTGTTCACTTCCCTAGCTTTTTGCTCACCTCCCAGACTTTTGTCTAAGGTGTCTTTGGGGACAGGGATAACGGGGAGGGTGGGGCTCAGTGTATCCTAAGTGATGCTCTCTGCAGGTATGGAGTTGATGCTGGAAAATAAACCAGCTCAAGGAACATTCCTAGCAGTTTGTGATTTGTACATAGCCCTGGCTGGCAATAGGATGAACCTCACCAGCTTTTTGCTCACCTCCCACACTTTTGTCTTTGGGGTGTCTTTGGGAACAGGGATAACGAAGGGGGTGCAGTGTGTCCTAAGTGATGCTCTCTGCAGGCATGGAGCTGATGCTGGAACATAAACCAGTTCAAGGCACATTCCTAACAGTCTCATCCCATTTGTGATTTGTACATAGCCCCTGGCTGGCTGGGATGAACCTCACCAGCTTTTTGCTCACCTCCCCTGGTGTCTTTGGGGACAGGGATAACAGGCAGGTAGTCACACTGTGGGACCTCAGTTTATCAATCCTAAGTGATGCTCTCTGTGGGTATGGAGCTGATGCTGGAAAATAAACCAGCTCAAGGCACGTTCCTAGCAGTCTCATACTGTTTGTGATTTGTATATATTTGTACATAGCCCCCGGCTGGCAATAGGATGAACCTCACCAGCTTTTTGCTCACCTCCCATGGTGTCTTTGGGGACAGGGATAACAGGGAGGTAGCCACACTGTGGGACCTCAGTGTATCAATCCTAAGCGATGCTCTCAGCCAGGTAAGGATTCCTCCCAGCTCCACGGCGCTCCTAGGGGACTCTGGGCACCTGGAAACCCTTGCTTATGCACCCTGCCTCAAGCCCCCGCCCGCCCTGCTCTACCTGCGGAGCAGTCGTGCCCGCCGTAGCCCCTCTCGCAGACGCAGAGCCCGTCGCGGCAGAGCCCGCGGCCGCCGCAGCCGGCGGGGCAGCGCTGCCGGCCGCAGTCCGGGCCGCCGAAGCCCTCCTGGCACTCGCAGGTGCCGTTCACGCAGCGGCCGCGGCCCGAGCAGTCGCGGGGGCAGCGCAGCTCCGAGCAGTCGTCCCCGGTGAATCCCTCCTCGCACACGCACTCGCCGTCCACGCAGAGCCCGCGGGAGCCGCAGCCGGCGGGGCAGCGCGGCTGGGAGCAGTCCTCGCCCCCGTAGTCGCTGTCGCAGATGCACTGTCCCTCCAGGCACACGCCGCGGCTGGAGCAGCCCCCGGGGCACAGCGGCTCCGAGCAGTTGCTGCCCGCCCAGCCCTCCGTGCACACGCAGCTGCACGACTCCAGGCTGAAATTCCCGTGGCCGCTGCACTGAGGGATGTAATCCAGCTGCCCTGCAAGGATGCGGGAGCGAGGGTCAGAACCCGGCGAGTGGGAGGCGGGAAAAGGTCGGGGTTGGTCTCGGGTCAGCCCTCGGAAGGGCTGGAGAAGGTGTGGGGCAAGGGGGGGATAGTTCTGTCTCTGGTAAACTGGTGGCTTTGGGGCTGAAGGGGGAAGAATTGGTGGGGTTTGGGTGGATCTTTCCCTAGGGAGCAGTGCCCCCATAACCTTGTGGTGGTGCAGGTGCTCCCTTTGGTTTCTCTCCAGCTCAGCACTCAACAGGCACTTCCCTAGACTTTTTACTGGGAAAAAACCTTCCCTGGAGAAACCCTCTGCACCAGCCATGCCTCCTCTGGTCTCACATCTACCCACATCTCCTTTTTATAGCTGAGAGATCCCCAGCTGCTTTCTCTCTCCTCTACAAAGTAGGTATGTACCCAAAGGCATCAAGCATCCTCATCCCTATCCTGGTGAACCTGACTGGGACAGAACTGCTGGCTTTGGGCACACTGAGGTTGTGGAAAAGCAGGGACAGCACAAGGCCAGCACCTCTAATGCCCCCTCTTTACCTGGCAGCCTTGCACAGGATGCTCTGGGGTGAGGAGGGATGATGGGGATGAAGGCAGCAGCCACTGACACTGCTAATGCTCCCCTGTTTTGCCCTGAAGCAGAACCATTGCTCCATCAAAGGGTTTGTCCCAGGCAGGCAAACTTTTCCTTGCTGATTTTTACTGCTTTTCCTCATTTTTACTGCTTTTCCACCAAGGAAGGACAGAAACCCTTTCTGTGCTTCTTCCAAACCTTTGCACCCCAAAGACCCCCAGGCCCCAGGACTCTGTCCCCAGCTAAATTTTCCATCCTAGCTGACCTTTCTGAGCAGCTTTTCCAGTGGGGGATGTAGCAGATGCACATGTAAAAGCAGCTCAGTTACATGCTGTGCCAGACAGACACATTTGGGTTACTTTGCAGGACAATTCCCACCCAAACTGCAAATGTTGGGAGTGCCAGTCAGGATCTCTTCAGATCTCAGCCTCTCACTGAGTTATCAAAAGATAAGAGAGGATGCTTGTAAGTGTGCTGGAGAAAAGAGGCTTTCCTCAGGGAAAATTGCCTTGGGTGGTGGGGTAGGGATCCTGATTCCTTTGCAGTGCAGTGAATTGAAAGCAACTCTGGTAAAAATAAATGAAATTATTCCAGTTTTAGCTCGGCACATCTGTGATGGGAGTGGGGACTCCACCAAGCAATGAATATTTAATGGGACTGTCTATGCATGTTGCAAGTAACCCAAATAGGCCCATCAGAGTTTCAAATTAATTCCTTTAAAACAGGTTTCCCCATTGGATTTCCTGCGTGATTTTAACCCTCACTTTGCACAGACTGGTGTTTCCTGTTTTGCCTTAGTTATTAATGCAGCTGATGGATGTGGCACTGGGAGGGATGTGGGCTGAAGCCATGGCTGGGAACACATTGATTTCCACTGGCCACATGATAGATGCTAGCCCAAGCCACCCTGCTGTGTGTCCATCCTTGTTTCTCCCTCCCTGACCAGCACACCTTTGGTGGAACTCTTGACCTGAGGATTGATTGCACCCATTTCATTTTAGTGTGTCCTACACACAGAAAAATGTGTCCTTCCACTGGAAAAATCACAGTAATAGCTGCAAAACTTTAAAATAAAAAAAAAATGCAGTGAGTATCTTGGGGGTAAAAGGGTTGGTTTTAATTTCTCTTCCTTTCTGTTGCTGTTCTTGGTGAAAAGCAGTTTTCCCCTGGAAAGATGCTCTATGTGCTTCTCCTTGCTTAGTGTTTTCTTCCCTGCAAGGAGCCCTGGTGTGCTGAAGCCACGAGCAGGGCTGGGCTGCATTTGGGATGGATGCCCTTTGGGACAGCCCCTCTTCCTCCAGACAAGGAGAGCTATCAGTATGCTGGCTCCTGGGCCATGGAAATGCAGCTGCCAGCCCAAACCTTCCTGACCTATGTCATTTCAGCTGCGTGCTGCTTTCCTGACCCTGGGGGACAGCTGAGGTGGAACGAGGGGCTGCCTGTAATGGAGTAACCCTTGTGGGACCTCTTCGAAGTCCCCACAAAAGCACTTATTTTTATTCAGATGGAGTATAATGTTGATGGTATTGTGCCTTTTTTTTTTTTTAATTTGCTTCTTTAATGTATTTTTAAATACTTTTTTTTTTTTAAACTCAGCTTTTCAGATGTGTTCACTCTGCCTGCAGAGAATGAAGGGGCTTATTGCCAGCTCCCATAGGGCTGCCTTCAGCCCAGGAGAGCAGCAGCTACATCTCTGCCTCCTGTCCCACAAGCAGTGGCAGATATCTAAGAGTGCTGGGAGGACTGCAGAGTTGGGAGATCCCTCTGCTCACCCCTAACCAGCTGTAATTTCATCCCCAAAGGGAGTTCTCTCTCCTTTATGGAGTTTTCACAGCGAGTGTGGCATGGGCACTCAAGTGACCAAAGCCCTCCCAGGGCTTTTCCTGCCTTAGAGGACTTCAGCTAAGTCTTTTCACTAAATCCACAGCCCCATCGTGGGTAAACACTGGTTTTCCTCTGTCACACTCTGGATGGCACCATCAGGTTTTGCATTATTTCTCCTGCCTCTCACTCAAGCCCTCAGCCCCCAGCAAGAGCTAACAGGATGGCGTTACTACCTGTGGCTGCATTTTCTTGGCAGCAATTGGAGGTGCATTGGTCCCGGAGGATGGAGACCTCCCTCTCCAGCATCTCAATCCTGCTCAGCAGCTCCTGCAGGGATGGGAGGGAGGTGGAGCACTTGCAGGCCTGCTTGGGCATGTTTATCCTGTGGGTGAAGGTGACCTGGCTCTCGCTGTCGGAGGTCTGCTCCGTGTACTCTGCCAGCCGGTCGTCTTCTGAACTCACCTCCTCGCCCGAAGACTTGAACATGGAAGAGCAGCAGCTGTCCAGGGGGATGTTGATGTTGTAGATGTGGTGGAAGACCATGGGCTGCTCTTTGGTGGGTGGGCTGCAGTTGGTGAGGCCAGCTGCCTCATCCACCGCTGTCCTCTGGGCTGGCTCTGTCGTCACCTCCAGGCGGCACTCAAAGGGCTTGAGGACAGCGCCCAGCAGAAGCAAGTTGAAGCTGATGACCACACTCCTCAGGATCGGGTTTTCACCATCAGTCCCCATTTTCCTGGGAGAGGGAAGAGCCTTCCAAGCTAGTCTTGGTCAGCCAAGAGTAGGGAGGACCTGGGAACACAGAAGCAAAAGAGCATGGTTGGTGTTAGCCTCGAAAGTGTGCTCAGCACAGAGAAACAAAACCTTCTTGGCACTTATCTAGACACATGTGGGGCCAGTTTCACCCACAAGCAGTCCTGCTGGCTTTGGTGTGTAGGGACACAGTTTGTGGTGATTAGGAGTGGGGCTGCAGCTGTGAGGAGCAGGTGAGCAGCACTGACAGCAATGAGCCATGGAGTGCCCAGGGGCACTGAGCAACCACCAAAGGGAACAGAGGGCACACAGGGGCAGGGCATCAACAGGAGGGGATAAAAGGCTGGGCTAAAGAACAAGAGGAGCAGATGCTTGCAGCCTTCTGAAGTGGTGTGGTGTTACTCTGTATGGGTTGAAGCTTTCTGAAATTGTGTGATGTTGCTCTCTCTATCATGGCCATCCCAACTGTGATATTGCTGGAGCCTAAATCAACCCTCAATGGAACCCATGGCTGGTGGGAGCACCTTGTCATAGCCCTTGAGCAGTGATGAAGACAGATTCTTCTTCTTGTTGTTTTTTTTCTTTTTTTTTTATTTAGGAAACAATTAATCTGGTGCTATCAAAGCACCAAATACTCATCTCTGGGTTACTTTGCCACCCTCTGCCAATGCTGCAACCTTGAGCAATTGCTACCTCTTGCTTCTAATGCTGCTCTGGAGCTCCTCTCCAGCTCCCTGGGGAGTATCCCTGCTTCCCCCATTACCCTGCTGCTGAGTGAAAATACATATTTGCTGGTTTCTCTCCAACAACACCTGGAACTCTCTTTTTTTTTCTCCTGGTTTTAAGAAAAGCAAGAAAAATGGAAATAACTCTGCAACGGGATGGCTCTGACCATGCTCACAGAAGACAGGCTCTGTAAGTTGCAATTTGGGGCTGCATTCTCAGACCCTGAGTCCCTCAAGTCCTTCTCTGCTTTCTGGGCTCCTGGGTGGCCTTGGCTGACCCACAGGCATGACAGGGGAAGGGACAGGGACTAATGAACACTGACTGCCTCTGATTGACTCGTTGGTGCTCAAATCTCAGCACCCCCTCCTTGGCCTCTCACTTGGCTTTTTGTGTGTGCTCAGAGTGGAAGTAATTGTGGCCATGGGCCAGCTGCTCTGAGCCAGGCCAGTGCTGCAAAGGAAAACTCCTTGCAGGATTTCAGGAGCAGCTTAGGCATGGGGAAATGAAATCCTTCCTCTCCCCCTCTGTGCATCCAGCTTGCCTCAAGAGAGACCTCAGAGCCTGTTTGTGAGCACAGCTGGATGGGGGAGAGGGGCTCTGTGTGGGTGCAGGAGTGAGGGAGTGGGAGATGGATGGTGGGTAAAGGAGGGCGAGCAGACACACACAGCACTAATGACAGTGAGCAGGGTGGTTGGGCACTTAACCACTCTGTAACCCACAGACTGAACCCATTCATCTGCTGCTAGGACCTGCCAGCCTTATTGATCTGAATCTCTTTATCAGTACATTCATTACAGCTGCCCAGCTCTCCCTTCTGAGTGGCAAGTCATGGCATTCCCTCCTGCTCCTTGGGCAGGGCATGATGCTGTGGGAGTGCTGGCATCCCTGCAGAATGATGCTAAGGAGATTTCTTGTAATATCACTGGTTGGGCTCTTAGTTGTGAAATGGTGAAAAGTCACCACGGTTCAGGCTGGCCCCAGCTCAAACCAGGCTGATCCACAGGGCAGGTGGATGCTCCTTGGAGTCCTCCAACCCAGAGCAGGCCAGAGATCCCTATTAATCCTCAGCTTCTTCCCAGAGGCTTAGGCTGGCAGTTCTGAAGCCCTGCCAAGTTTGTGAATGCATTCCTGAGCTCTGTCATCTCCATTCCCTCTCTGGTCCCGCTCTGCCTCCTGCTCCTGGTGTCAACAGTTTGCTTTTCCCTAAAGGACCCATGACAGTGAGCTCAGCCAGGGTGGGCTGGGAGGGCTCTGGGGCTGCAGGAGCAGTCTGACAGCTTCAGCTGTGTCTACTTGGGAAGAGAAGCTGCATGGATATTCCTCCTTTGGGTTCCTCATTTTCCTGTGCTCCTGATGCTTCCCAGTCCAGCTCACACTGCTGTGACAGAACCATTCAAAACCATTGATGAGGGGAACAGAGCCAGGACTGGATGTTTTTCATCCCTCCTTCACAAGGAAAAGAAGCCAGTTTCTGTGTAATTTAATGTGTAAAATTGGTTGCACCAGAGCAAATTCACCTAGGTTGCTTTCAGTCTTTTTTTTTAATGATGGCTTTGTTGTCCCCAAGTTCAGCTAAAGCTCCCAGTTGGTGGCCTTCTGGATGGCTTTGATCCCTTCATCCCTAGAGGTGGCCTTGGAAAAGCTCCCACCCAGGGCAGTGAAGGCAGCTTTGGGCCTGTCATTGTGCTGGTGTCTGCTGTCAATGCCCTTCTCCTTCACTTTCTGCTGGACTGGGACAATGCCTCTCCATCCCAGAGGGGCCTCTGTGTGACCAGGATGGGACAGCTGATCTCCAGGTGCCTCTGGCACAGCACAAGCTTGGGGCTGCTTCTATATTTTACCAGAACTGGTTACCTTTCGTTTGTTTTGCCTTTTTTTTTTTTTCTTCCCTCCAGTCCCCCTAAAATATGGGTGTTTGAATTAAAGTTCAAATTAAAGAGTTATTACAGTTAATTATGAAGTTTGGCAGGCACTGAGCTTTTGGCTCCAAAGCATTTCAACTTTGGGGAGCTGTGAAAGAATCAATCTGCTGCAATTTCTCTGTGGTGCTCAATAAAAAATACAGGCAATAGAAAACTGATAAAAATATTTGAGGGTTTTGCCAAACATGTACCACAGCAAAGCTCTCTCTTTCCCTCCCCATCAGCCTCTCTCCATCCAGGATTTGTGCCTTATGGGCCAGCAAAGGAAGAAACATAAAAACCCCATTAAATCCACAGCACATCCACCCTAATTATATCTTTTCAGTTATTTTTACATTTTGCTGATGGGCTGTATCTGTGTGAGCAGCTTTATGAGGATGAATGCAGAAGGGAACCTGTGTGTGGGGATGCTTGGAGCAGCTGTGCTGAGAAAGTCATTAATGGTGGGGAAAGTCATTGGGGGGTGGGGAAACAGCATCCCCCCAAAATGCAGCATCTGCAGCCCTTTTTTTATAACTTAGCAATGTGAATGTAGCAAATGCAAACTGGGCTCTTGCAGGATGGCTGCAGAGACATCAGATCTGCACAATGACTATGATGCCAGCAGTTTTATCTGTGGCATTTTGTGGGGACAGTTTAACATTTGGATGGTCCAACAATATTTCTAGTTTTGTGGCAGTTTTGGTGAATTGCTTTGGTTAAAAGAAAAAAAAAAAGTCAAATGTTGCCTGGGAAGCTGCTTGAGAAAAAAAAACATTTTAACACACAATATATGGCTGAAGAAACAAATATTTTTCTAAGTCACTAAAGATGTGAAAATGAAGCAAATGTTTTTTTTTTTTTTTTGAGTGAGTAACCTTTTAATCCACCCAGAGCATATAGAGAGGGATATGTCTGTATATATATTTATGTACATTTATTGCATTCCCTTTTTCTGAACACCAGGTAAACCCAAGCCCTGCTGTCTGGTGCGGATGCCCAACTGGAAAATCAGATCTATTTGCAGTTCAGGCCCGTGCTTACCCTCAATGCTGACCAACAAACCATCAAGAAACAGAGTTTGCTGCCTGCTTCCTTGGCATGGCAGAGGCAGGCAGGTACATGCTGACAGCCAGCAGTCCCTGAAGTGTGTGATCAGAGCTGTGGTGTGTTCCCTGCTGGAGCACAGCTGGCAGGAGCCAGAGCTCTGTGATGGATTTGCTCCCACTGCTGTTAATGGTGGGAGAGACCCCAGGGCATGGTGAGGTGGGAATCCTCTGAGTGTATTATTGGGATTTTTTGTCACTGACGTATTTTATGAAAATCCTTTTGATAGGATTTTTCTCTTGAGAAGCTTCAGCAAAGAAATGTAAACAATAACTATCTGATGGCTGTGGAATGTGGTTTGGAGGTTGCTTCCCAACAGGTGCATCTTTGGTTGGTCTTATGTGAATTGTTTTTAATTAATGGCCAATCACCACCAGCTGTGTCAGGCTGTCTGAGTCAGTCACAGGTTTTTTATTATCGTTCTTGTTTAGCCTTCTGATGTCTGCTTTCTCTTTCTTTAGTATAGTTTTAATATATCATTTTCTTTTAATATAATATATATCAAAAAATAATAAATCAGCCTTCTGAAACATGGAGTCAAGATTCTCATCTCTTCCCTCATCCTGGGGACTCTCAAACACCACCACAAGCTTTTGTGTTGAAAAGTGTCCTGCAGGCTTTCCATAAGCCAAAACTGCTGATGGATGGTTTTCAGGGCTGCCAAAACCAAGTGCTTGGTGCACATGGTGCCTGCTCCATGCTCTGGCAGGATGCAGCCCATGCAGCTTTCCTCTGGGGTTCACTGGGAAGGAAATTCAGCTCCATGGTGTCCCTGGTTGGCTTCCCAGCCTTAGACTTGTCATTCCAAGGTGATCACACAGCTGGAAAACTGGCGTGGGTTGCATTGCAAGCTCAGAATCCCAGCTCTGGAGTTTTTTGGGATCTCTAAAGTGAGGCTGAAGGACTCTGGTTTAGGGCAACTCATCGTTCCCATCCCCCAGCATCATTATTGCCTTGACACTGAAATCCCTCCTGGGTGCCATGTCCTTCAGCCATGGCAGGTGAGGGTCACCCTGGTTTTTCAAGTTCTTCTAAACCTTCTGATGTTTACATTCTTGTAATGAACTTTTTGACACACTTTATGTAAATAACTTATTGTTCTAGATTATTTTATGGAGGAGGAGAAATTTTATAGAATGTTGGTTTGTCCAGTGTCCTTGGTGAGGTGGCACTGTCACCCTCCAATCCACTGTCACTTTTGGAAATCTATAAATGCTGGGAGTCAGAATTAAACTTTCCCTCTTT